ATGTCTCTAATCACACGGTGCTGTGATTGGCTGTGTCCAAATGCACCGTGTCCAAGTGCACCGCTCCCGAAAAAGCACCCTGAATATAGTTGAGTTCCCACTGAGCGCGTCAGGCGTCGCGTTGTCTGTCTTCACGAGTTAACCAATCAAATCGTTCCATTGGAACAAGTGCGTCATGCGTCGCGTGTTGCGTCATCCCAATTATGGCTTCTGCACACAGGACGCGGTAATGCTTGCCGCGCGGCGTAAGTTTGCGCGACAGCCAATCAATATGTTGTTTTTCCATAAGAGGTAGAAAGTTATTACGGAAAGCAGTATATTGATTAGCTGTCGTGCGAACTTTCGCCGCGCGGCAAGCATTACCGTGTCCTGTGTGCAGAAGCCATTAGAGGATTTTATTGGTTAACTTGTGACAGACGACGCGACGCGTGACGCGCTCAACTCAGCCTAGAAACATAAGAAAGGTTGTGTTATAAAGATACACGAATGAGAGAGAACACAGGGTTTCAAAAGGGAGCGTCCCGATTGACCACAGTACGATTAGACACAACCAACCGATTAAAAGAATTATCTAGTGAATTACTAGGTCGAACCAATCATTACAATCTGTGTCCAATCGTATCGTGGTCAATCGGGTCCCACCCGTCTCAAAATGCAATGCATCTTTTTTAACGTGCCTCTTATCCCCATTCCTCAACGCTCAGTTTAGATATATTATTATAACGATTCGAATATCGATCGCTACAAGATAATCGCAGAACATCACGCAAGAAAAACACGATAAGGAAACGCGCAAAAACGCGAATAAATACACCGTCGAACATCCGCGGTAAATAGCGAATCAAGCGTGATTCGCAAATATAAAGCGCCGCGAATTCTAGATAAATATTAGATTCTGATCATCCGCTCTTTCGAAAGATCAGAATACGATCCGCTCTTGAGAGAGATTCGAACCTCCGATACCGAGAAAGATTAATGCACCATCTTCTTGAACACCGTTCCTGGTGGACTTCTGTTCGCGAATACGTGACAGTAGTCACTCCGCCGTCGACTTACGGATACGTGACGTCGACATTATTCCAACTACCGTTCCTGGCAGATCACTCCGCCGTCGGCTCACGGATACGTGAAGCCGATACGATTGCATATACCGATCCTCGCATACTTCCGTTCGCGAATACGCGACCGGAGTCACTCCGCCGTCGGCTCACGGATTCGTGATGCCGACACTGAGCTAACTACTGTACTCCAAAGGATTCCACGGCCACCGAAGGGCCTGGGTAGCGATCATGAATCTTTTCCCCTAGTGTGAACTCGTGAAAAGTGAAAATTTTGTAATGAACTCGTGAAAGATGAAAACCTTCACTAAACTCGTGAAAAATGAAAGATTTAACGTGTAATTTGTAAATATTACAATATACTCAAGACAACATCAATTTGCAATGGACATCTTTAGAATTTTTTTAGCATATTTTTAAGACATAATGATGTCTTTAGAACATCCCTTGGAAGTCTGCTTGTCTGGGATTACTTTAAGATAAATTATTAAAAGATAAAATATTCTATTCATATTAAAATTATAAATCTGCAAAAAATATATATTTTATATAAAATAATACATAAAATACATGCAATAAATACATAAAATAAACTTACATTTTACGTACTGCATACAATTTATAATATATTACACTAACTTTCTGATGCATACATATCTTAACTTTGCAAACTTTGTAACCGCGATGCGTCGCGTTCCGGATCGCTTGCCGGTTCGGGTTCGTAGGAGGCGGAATAATTTTAAAAACAGTGATTTAATAATTGAACTGAATTATATATTTTAGAATCAGTTAAGTGTTGTACATTTAATTCCGATGTTGCGTGTCGACGCCGTTGGTTTTCGTCGGTTTGTGTACAATAGACTAGAGGCCTTGTATTGCTATAGGCGATAGCTTGCGTGAGGTTATGCGCGGTGCGCGGGACGCGGACGGTGTTATTGTCGTGTCGAGAGTTTGTCTGTTGACGCTCTCAGCTGTTCGTCTCTTTAATACTGGTTTACAGTTTCTTTCGGTTATTTAGCTGCTCTTCGATTAAGCCTCAGTTTATGCGGTCGGTCGGTTGCTGTTGCAGCTGAGCTGCGTGCGATGTATCGCCCCGATAGCAATACCTCAGATCTCCTATCACGGAGATGCGATGCGGTTTCGTATATGCGGTGCAGAAGTCCGCCTGTGTACACGGAACCTTAGTTATCGGCTTTGCCTTTGTTATTGACAAGATCGGCTCGTTCTAACCCGATCGCGGATGCGATGATGACGGTGCCGCGGACGCGCCTATGCGTCGCGGTAACGGTATGATTCTGATCTCGCTTCCGGAGATGGTATGAAATTATATAAATATCTTATTTTGTGTTTTTATATTTTCCTTGCAAATCAGATTTTTTTCTTGTTACTTTAAAAATTGTTACTTTAAAAATTGTTAATTTTTATATTATAGCAAAGTTATGTAACTTTTTTTTAATGTAATAATTTATTTGAAGAGAAAATGAAAAAATCTGTTAATGATGATTAAAGAAATATATTTTTCATATATTTTAATGATAACTGCAATTTATGATCACGGACACACACAAAATATCTTTCACATGGTAAAATAGAAATCACTAGTATGTGATAGTTTACGTAATAGCCGTTGTTTGGTCCTGGCGGCGTTGCAGATGTTGACAGACGTTTTGCTGCAGACATAGCGGCTAGCGGTCCATGGTTATATAGTCAAAGGTTCCGTTACGCTATTTCTTTCATCTGGACGCACCCTAAGCACACATATGCTTAACGAAATGCAGCGATAATGGGTGCTTTCCAATTGCTTAACACATCTTGACACACATACACAAAACCAGTTTATTGGTCACATATCTAAAATATCTTATAAGATAATATGCAACCAATAAGCTAGTTTTGTATAACACAGTGTACTGGAAAGCACCCAGTATATCCAATTCTTACTAGAATCGATTATTTCGCTCGATATATCGAGTTATCGATAATCGGTGCGCTCCAATTAAGTTACTAGAGTCATAATCGATTATTTCTTATCGAAGTCCGATCTCTAGTTCGCACCCTGCGGATGCCTTTTCATGTAGCGAATTTTTCGCTGTGAATGATTTGTAGCAAGTAGCGAATAATTCGCCGCGAATAGCTTATGAGCGTCATATGGATGCATTCCCACTTAACGTGTTACGCGTCGCGTCGTCCTTCGGGAATCAATCAAATCGTCCCATTTTATTCATCGTAAAGTTAGGCAATAAAATGGGGCGATTTGATTGGTCTGCGACAGACGATGCGACGTGTGACGCTAAGAACATACCAATATGTTGCATATTAACAACATGGAGGACAATTAAATTATTCATTTGATATTACTAACTAATTTGATATTTACTTGATATAACTAACATTATTAAATTATGTGCAAATAATGAATTATTGAAATTATTATGAAAATATCCAAAAAAGGAAAGCAGCTGCAGTTATGGCTATACTTTTACATAAGAAAAGAAGATATTCGAGAAAGAAACATTGGGTAGCACCTATTTTTCCAGATAAAATAGGGCATGGATTTTTTTATGTTACAACATATATTTAGGTAATACATTACCTAAACTTCTTTTAGAAGTCTTAAGATTTTATAATTATATACGCATGTCTTCAAGTCAATTTGAAAATTTAATATTTATAGTTGGAGCAGGCATATTTAAACATTATTACATTAGAGAACCTATAGATGTTGTTGAGATGTCAACAGTAGGTTTGTTCTTTCGACCTGACCTAGGGCTGCACTGGAACTGTACTAGTTGAAGAAAGTTCAAGATAGTGCAGACCAGTGCAAAGATACATATGGGTCTGAAAAGAACGGATAAGAGCAAGTTAGAGCAGTATAAGATGGCGGATAACATGGCTGGATTAAATAACATAGATCAATTTATGGTCATGTTTTCGCACTTATAGCATTTTATGTTTTGTTGAACAATCCTATTTCTTTTAAAAACTGTTTTGTGTTGGATACCCATACAACAAATCCCTCCGAAAAAACGTCCAAGAGCCTTCCCAGGATGTCTTTCGGATATTTTGTGCTGTTTGGATAACATTCTAAATACTTCTTTTATGTCATTCTACATTATATATTTATTATATATTTATCTACATTATATATTTATTATATATTTAAGTATTTACTTACTGTTTATAGATTCCGTCGTCGGATTATTTCTTCTACGTAATGTCAACTAGGTATACCGATTTTACAGGTTATAGATACAAATTTAAATTTTTTCGGTTAGCTGCCCTGCACTGCTTGCTCTACCTCCAGACCTAGGGCAGTCAGTTCACTGAACTCGCTGCACTAGTTCAGCCTGCACTGTTCGAAAGAACATATTTTCTTGCACTGTTCTGATCGAAAGAACGCATTAGTGCAAACTTCGTGAACTAGTGCAGCCAGTTCAGGTCGAAAGAACAAACCTAGTGATTATCTTAGCGAATATTCGCTAAAAGCTAAAAAATTTCAGCGAACAGCGATTATTCGCTAACGAACAGCGAATGACCACGTGACCTTCAAGGGAGCGGTGCACTTGGACACGGTGCATTTGGACACAGCCAATCACAGCACCGTGTGATTAGAGACATTTGTAGGGTCCCTTGGAACAGCGACTTGTGATTGGACTGTGTCCAATTGCCCCGTGTCCAATTGATATACACCCGACCTTCAATCGCAGCGATTTATTCGCTACATGAATTGACACCTGCAGGCTTCTCTCTAGTTACCATGCACAGAGTTCGTTTTAGTTCATATTTCCAACACACGTCAGGATTGTCGCTAATAATCAAAACTGTATAATGCCAGCGGCATATGATGTTTGTTTTCGTGCTGGATTACTTGCTGGGTGGAAATACTCTATTTTGATTGGTTCGTCTTCAGAAATGCACCAATCAGAACAGAGTATTTCCATCCAGCAAGCAATCCAGCATGAAAACAAGCATCGTGTGCCGTTGGCTTAAGATAGTTCTTTTCGGATGTCATCATATAACATCAGCGATAATTTTTATGGAATATTGTGTATAGTATGCCTGAAATAATCATCAAAATTTATTAAATACTTATATATATGTGTAATATTTAATCATAATCAACTTTCCTAACTTTTCTCGAAAATATATGTATTGACGCATTGTACACAATAAATATTTTCTTGACTTTTTGGGACCAAGATGCCAGAACGAATCGAAATTGGTATGTAAATTTCTAGTTCTTGTAATACGTAATCCATTTATATGCATAGATTTACTTGTTATATATGTATATTTATATATTGTAACCTAACTTAACCTAATAACAGAAATATCAAACTTCAGTAAAAAAACAAAAGACAAAGTGCGATAAATAACCATTAAAAAAACACAATAAGTGTGAAAAATTTAATAAGAATTAGGAATAATAACAGAGTACTTTTAAATTTCAGGTATTATACCAAACAATCTAAGACATGAAGAGACGATAGTTCAAATAGCAGAAGCTTTGGATAATTTAGGTAATGCTGTTTCATATATATTTGAATGTATCGATAGAAGACTTTCAGAAAATACGCAAAGGTAAAGGAATTTACTAGCTCTAATTCTTAGCATAACCCTTATATTTATTATCTCGATGATATAACTTATGTATACATACTATTTGTTTAGATATATCCAGGTTTGGGTAAAAACTAGTTAATCAGTTAAAATTTAATAACTTTTAACTCAACTTAGTAAATTTTTAACGAGTTAACTTCTAACTTAAACTAGTTATTTTAAAATGCATATTATAACTTGTTATATTTTCTTGTACAAGTTAAAATAATTAATCAATATTAAAGTCATTATGGGCTATGTACAATGTAAAATAAGAAAAATAAAAAATAATAGTTGAATAATTTTTTGTTTCTTTGAATATTAGTGTTCTTTTTTCCATGGAATTTTGAACATAAAATAGTCGATATTTTCTTATAAAAAGACTATCTTTTCATTATTTTGTGTAAATTTTATCTATAACTGAAAAGTTAATTATGCTAAAAATATTGTTTTATATAATTTATTGTTAACTTTAATAAGTTAATTTAATTTGAACTAAACTTTTAATTAAGTTAGTTTTTGTGTAAGTAACTTAAAACTTAATTAAGTTGATTTTTTAAGTCATTAACTTTAAACTTAACTTATCTAATCCAGGATATATCTAATAATAATATATAATGAAATAAACGAATATATAATAAATTTTAGATTAAACAGCATTAAAGAAAGAGCTAGAAAACTGGAGAACAGGTTGCACTATCTGCAAACAAACTTGAACCTGAAAGCAGTAAAAATGTACTCTGCTGCCAAATATCCAGCTAACTATACTTATAAGGAGTATAGGGTAACCATACCGCCGCAGCACAAACATGCGGCTACTATACCAAGCATTTATAAGTGTTCTGTGCCTATAAAAGATATTCCCGAATCGTATTTATCTTCTAATTGTAAGACGGAAAGTGGCCAGTACGCTGCAAATATCAATCTTCAAGAGAAACTGCAGTTTTATCATGTACGATCAAAAGCCAGTAAAAAGATTAACAATCTTGAGAATGACGAAGAACCATTCCCGCCACAATTGTCTTCAGTTAGCGCTCTCCTGTTATTTGATAGCATGGACAGTCCATACGAAAAAACGTCCATGAGATCATCGCGGCAATCTAACAACAAGCAGCAAATTGAAGATGCACCAGACTCGATTGTACAACCGTGGCTTTCGTCGGAAATGGACTCATCTTCCAACTATCTGTACACACCAACCCTTGGGGAGGTGAGAATTTCCATATAACATATTATAATAGAATTTTAATAGAGTCGGGAAAATTTACTCAATGCCTATTGAAGTTCCGTTTTCATCATACAAGAAATAATATATTGTTACAATTTCTTGTTCTGAAAATTGTTTCTAAAAGATTTGCTTTTGCTTTTTCTACACAAGAGCTTTTTAAGTAAATTTTTAAGTAAACAAGTTCTTTAAGTAAATTTCCTAAACATTGTCTTATATTTTAAAACATTTATCTTATATATATCTTATATTGTCTTATATTTTAAAACATTTAATACAAGCTCATATAGGTGTGTGAGTAGAGAAAGCTGTCAGTAAAGAAAGATTAATAAGAATTATAATGTGGATATTGATACGAAATTATAACTTTTAATTTCGAGAGGATAATAATATTCTGACAGTAACAACAAACGAAGAATTGCAACGTGGAGAATTCACCTTTCATAACTGACTTTGAAATTAGCTTTATAATTCCGATTAATTCTAATATCAATATTATCTTTTTTATACCTCTGTTCATATCTTGTTTAAATAATAAGCATTTTTATATTATTATCTAAGTGTTGCAAAAATACTATTAGAACATTATTATCCTCCCAAAATAAAAAGTTCTAATTTCGTACTAATATCCACGTGATGGTTCTCATTAATCTTTTTATACTTTACAGTATTCTAGGAATTGACTTTTGAAGTCATTCTATGAAGAAAAGTTAAAGTTCATATAAACATATTAAAGGCCACATTTCAGACATATAGGATTATTAAAAATTCTATTAAACTATTATTTTTCTTAATAATTTCGAAACAAAAACTAAGAAAGAACGAAAAGAAAAACTTCAAAAAAAAACAAAAAAAAAACAATAAATATCGACTTTAAGGAAAACAGCTCTAATGACCTTGATCTTGACATATGTTGTCATCATTTTTGAGGAACTCGCAAAAGGTTTTAACCATCACTCGTTGTTAGAAAGTTATAGAAAAAAAGATTTGTATAAACGCAACGCGTAATTTTGGTACACAACATATATTAAAATATGGTAAACAGTACACGTATATGCGTATGTTATGCTCCGCGGCCTCGTGCTCTGTGGCAGTCGTTTATATCCAGATAGCCAAACCTGTGCGAACAGATTTCGAGCAGAGCTTGCTATCAACTTTTGATGGCAAATAGATAACAAATTTGATGCAGGATCTGTTATATCAAATCTTGCTGCCAAATTGCCGCCAGATATGCGGCAGAGCTTATTGTCGGAAAATTGATGCAGATTTGCAGCAAAAACTGCGCAGAGCTTGTAGCGATTTGACGGCAGAAACCGCGCAGACCTTGCTGCACTGCAAGCTTTGCGCGGTTTTTGCTGCAAATTTGGCACCAATTGCCCGACAGCAAGATCTGTCGCCAAAACCGTGGCCTAATGTAGACACAGATGGCTATGGTTTTGCTATGGGTTTTTGATCAAATTTGCTGCCAATCTGCGCGCAGTCTGCGCTCAATTTGCTTACTGGGTAGTTTCCAAGATATTAATAAAAAAGATGCCTGTCCCTGGTCTAACCGTGTAACTGGGGGGCTACGCGCCCCAGACCCACCTGCACCGCGGCGGAGGGAGGGGCAAGTCTGTTATATTTAATCCGTAACAGATACGATGCCTTTTTAGTCAAGCTATAAATATAGTAGAGTCCGGCGGACCCCAATAAATTTTTGCCATTTTTAACATGATAATAAAAGGTAGAAAGAAAAACGCTTTATAGTTCGAAAATAATACTTTACGAATATTATATTACAACTAGACATATATAATAACAGTCTCAGTTTTTCAGTAATCTAAAAGAAAATGTTAATAACTGATTATAAAATGAACACAATGTGGACAGTGTTGAAATAAAATACACTGAAAGACAAATAATCGGAAAAAGAAAAAAATTTATGTTTTTCAATCTAAGTCCACAAATTGTAGGTTATATAAAAAATATAAACAAGTATTGTTAACTAAAAGAAATAAAAAAACTACTTGAGTATCATCAATATTTAACGTAAAGGACAATAAGAGTTCAAGCATAGGTTGAATAGTGCTATTAAAACTATTAAAAAATAGTGACCCAATCTCACAATGAGAAGAAATTTATTAATCATCAAACGCGTTTCGGTCTAACTTCGCAGATCCTCTTCAGTGATTACAAGTTGAAAAACGAATTATATTTAAGTGTCACAAAATGTAAAGGTCGCAATAATCGGTATAACAAAGGTTGTTACAAAAGTTGTCGCTGCAAGTTTTGTTTATGGGAATCGGAAGCATCAACGTAAATAATTATAAATAGTCATTAAGACAAAAAAAATTTCTCCCTGGAAGACATTAGTAACTTGTTATAAGATTGGTCATTCCATCGCACGTACTAAGATGCTGTGGTGTAATTATCTAAAAAACGTATTGAGATAGAGTAACCAAACAAAGTATGAGGAAAAAATAATGATAAATACCTCAATAATAGATAGTAGAGTTCCAGGGAAATGTCAAGCTAATAAACGTGTACCTCCGAATGCCGCAAGCAGCACAGAATTATGTGTTTATATTTACTTGGTACGAATTACAAACGAAAAACAATTCAAGTCAAACCATTTGCAACGTATTATAACACTTTCCCAAATTCTCAGTATCAGTCTGAGAATTTAGTCCGTGTGCCTGCATTTTAATAAAAATCATCTCCGCAATCATCCTTTTATAAAATAGGCGTTCTTTATGTAAAATTTTGACACTATCCCATCTAAATTCATGGCCGCACTTAACACGATGCTCCTGGACAACAGAGAGCTGTGATGTAAGGTCCCTAGGTAAATGTTTATGCTCAGATACACGAATAGAAAGCTTTCTGCCTGTTTGACCAATATAAGACGAGTCACAGTCATTGCACTCCAACTTGTACATAACATTATTATGAAGATTCAGAGGTAATGTGTCTTTATGAACACGAACTAAACCTGAAAGCTTGTTCATAATACAGAAACTTTGAAAATTATTAAATTTTTTAAAAATCTTACTGAGTCTATTAGAAATCATCCCCAAATATGAAAAGATGCTATATGAACGAGTGGGTAATAAAGAAGACGAAGATGCACTCGGTACAATGGTATTTATTCTGTTAATCAGTCGAAACACACGTCTATTATAGATTTTAAGAATAATTTTAATGGGATAACCATTCCCCACTAAAGTGCGGAAGACGAACGCAAAATTTCTTTCATGGAACATAGGATGGCTCAAAAAAATTACTCTATCAACTAACTCTATGATCATACTAATTTTATGCTGTAATGGATGAAAAGAATTATAATTAAGAAGGCGGCCGGAGTAAGTAGATTTGTGGTACCAGTCAAACCTGAGTCTGTTATCAACAATTTCCATGGAGGTTTCAAAAAAATATACCTTGCCATTATTGCCAAAATCGATCGTAAACTGAAGGCGTGGATGGAAAGAATTAAAAACACTCAAGATACTCTCAACAAAAGTTCCTGGAACAGCCAAAACAATATCGTCAACGTAACGAAAATAAAAAGGCAAACAAATCTGTATTGTCTGAAGTGTTCTTTCTTCAAGGTCTTGGAGAACAATATTACAATAGCTATGAACAATAGCTATGATAAGAGAGAGAGGCGAACCCATTGGGGTGCCAAAGGTCTGTCTATAAATCCTGCCATTAAAGCTGAAGTAAGAAGAATTGAGGACAAATTTAAGTGTTAAAGTAAACTCATCCTTAGGAATTTTACTAGCCGTCTCCAAAAAACACCACCTTCTCAAGATACCATCCATAACCAATTCAAGAGAGATATTAGTGAACAATGAGACTATATCCAAACAATCTAAAGTGTTCTTCTATATATAAATTCGCCAAAGATCTAACCAGATCAAAGCTATTTTTGATCTTGCTGTTAGCCACCGGGATATTAGCAGAAATCAACTTGTGTAAAAATAAAGCCAAATTATATAGAGGACTATTTATTGATGAAACAATAATCCTTAAAGGGTTATCCGTTTTGTGGGAGAAATTTTCTTTGTCTTAATGACTATTTTTAATTATTTACGTTGATGCTTCCGATTCCCGTAAGCAAAACTTGCAGCGACAACTTTTGTAACAACCTTTGTTATACCGATTATTGCGACCTTTACATTTTGTGACACTTAAATATAATTCGTTTTTCAATTTGTAATCACTGAAGAGGGTCTGCGAAGTTAGACCGAAACGCGTTTGATGATTAATAAATTTCTTCTCATTGTGAGATTGGGTCACTATTTTTTAATAATTTTAATAGTACTATTCAACCTGTGCTTGAACTCTTATTGTCTTTTACGTTAAGTATTGTTAAATTAAATACAATATTAAAATTTTAGAGGATTTTTTTAGATGCGATCGTTACAGATAGTGCTTGCATATTTGGTGCATATTGGTTCATTGCATCTAACATATACTTCTTTGGACTTCATCTTTTAGATCTTTTATTACATCTTACTCTAGATGGTAAAATAATTTCAGATCTTTCAGTTTCTTCAATTTTTAAAATAGATGAAATTATTAAACGCAATGGCTTATGAATATATTGAGTTGTAAGACATCTCTTAAGTTCAAGTTCTACTAACTGAAAGGCAAGAGCTTTTACTCTTTTGTGTGAAGAATGAATCATATTGAGCTGAAAATTAAGAAAATTATTTTCATAAAAGTAACATTAACAATGGAATCACTGTGACCCCAGACAAAAAACAAATGCATATAATTCGCAGCTTCTTACAAATAACTCGATGATTTTTTTTCTGTCACACTGAGAACTGTTAGGGCCGTGGCACACAGAAATACTTAAGCAATAAAACGTAAGCAGTAAGCAAATTGACCAATCACAATCGCTGATTTTTTTTACGATCCAAGATTCAACGACTGTGATTGATCAGTTTGCTTACTGCTTACGTCTTACTGCTTAAGTTTTCCTGTGTGTCATGGCTCCTCAGAGCATATATATATATATACAGGGCGCGGCAAAAGTATCGGACCGGTAAAATATCTCGAAAAA